ACAATGTTAAAATGTTTTGCCTGTTATCATCCTGGGGACATTTTGTCCCCACAAAGAGCTAAATACACATGTAAACATTCATATGTTCTCAAAGGGAGCGGGGTGAGGAGTAAAGCATCTGTCACTTTGCCTCTAAGGCAAAGATAAAACCTGGGGTTACATTTCTAAATGAGGGAAAAGGGTGAAGAAATGATGAATGGAGCCATGGTTGAGAGAAAGAGAGAGGGAGATAGAGAGAAAGAGAATGAGATAAAGGAGGAGAAGAGAGAGCCAACCAGGAGAAAAGGCAGAGCATGCAGAGAGATAGTGGAGAAGAATAAGAAAAGACAGGTGGCAGTCAGGTTGAAAAAAAGGAATAAGGGAGAGGAGGAGGAGAAAACGATAGTGACTGATTGAGAACTGAGAGACAGATCAAAAAGAGAGAGAAAGTGACAATGCACAAAGAAACACAGCATTTATCTGAAATGCAGTATAAGCATCGCCCCGATACTATCAAACAGTAATATATTTGAACTAATACTATAACAAATCTAGCCTGAAATATCACAGAATTGCTTGCAGTAGAAACATAAAACAAAGTAAAGTAGGTTACGTGATACCAACAGTAGTCACATGTAGCCTAATGATAAGATAAGAACAACTAGTAGCTAGCCAAGTATTATACTACAATTGCAGGAAGGCATTCGCAACCTAAATGTAATGTTTTTTAAAACTTTTTAATGCAACTTTAAATGTAACCAATTATGAATACTGAAAAATTACATTTCTCTGCATTGTGACAAATCAGGGCAAATATAAATACTTCAAATCAGACCAAATTCCAGCTATAAATGTGATAGTTTTGCTCATATTTGTGAATAATCAAGTATATTATACGTTGCTACCATAAAACTCAAGTACTGTTAAGTGAGTACATTGCCAAGGATGTGATTAAAAGGAAAGAACTAGCACCAAGGTAATTTGGCCAAGGCCGCTTTCACAAACACATTTTGGTATCTGTCAAAAATAGGCCATTGATTTCAAAGAAAACAATGTGCCAGAAAAACAATGTGACAGCAGACGCCAATGCATGGCAATGTCTAAAAACTAGTAGAACTTTGGCTGGGGTGTATGCTGATATATTCATGCTTCAGCCAATAGGAGAAGATGTGGTGCAGCAACTGTACCCTTAATCTCAGACCACGCCAAACCGAATTTAAGACAATTTGTGAAATTAAAGGCTTTCTTAAAAGACAAGCGTGTTTAAGGACACTCTCTGTTGGCTACGTATTTCTTCCCATAGGGTAGCAGAGTGTTTGTTTGAGCAGTCTGACCTCAGTACATTTACATGAGTTATCTGAAGACAATCCATTTAAAGTAGCTTATTTTACTACAAATGTATAACACTGTAATACTGTAATACTCTATATTATGCCTTCATTATTTCTCATGAATCTTCATAATGAAGCCCCCTCTGTGTGTGTTGTTTACTGTAATGAGTGGGAGCCAGGAGGTCCTTTGAGCAATGCCAGTCTCAACCTAATTACAGGCCACTCTATCCACTGGGCCACCAGTAGTAATTACAAGCTAGGGCTAAGGCAGAGACAGAGAAAGGAAGCTACACATGCAATAGCGCTGTAAATGTCTTCCTCCAAACACAAAGGGGAAAAGGCAGCTACTGTTGTGGATGTTACTGTTGTGGATGAAAAAATATATCACATTCCTCATTGGCCAATAATGAGCATTTTATCATATTCACTTTCATTTTCCAGTAGAACTGAGTTAAAATGTGCGTTTTGATTTTGAACATGTTAACACAGGGCAGGTGACATCTGACTCAACAGAAGACCTACACTATCCTATGTACAGCAGGACACAGAACGAACACAACCTGAAGCAAGACCATGCCCAACCATGCCTTGCTATCAAGCAAATACTCTTAATAATTTCCTCTTCAAAAATGCCAACACAGCAAAGAAGAAACTAAATCAATGCCAGTCATCTTGCATAGCTTATTAACTATTAAAAGGCTTGCTACAGAAAAATGGTGACAGCAAGGGGCCTTTGAAGTCTGGGTGGTTTTTTAAGCATAGTCTCCGGGTCTGTTAAGAGATGCACACATGAGAACACACACATATACACGCACACATGCTGAGTGAACTTCGCAGCATGAAAGTGGTAATTTAGACTCCATGCTGACAGCTTTGGTCGGCCCCCTCCAACACAATCGGGCACAAACTAAGCACGACCTCTGCACTTCCGGGATCTCTCAACACACACACACATACACATCAGTTTCAAGTGGTGCATATTCTCAAATTTGTTCGAGACAGCAAAATGTGGAATTATTAGTGGAATTGACTTCCATGCCATACAGCTGGGCAAATGTCTTACAATGATCATATTCTCACCCCTCCAAAGTTCAGTCTTAGAAGTTGGTTGTTTTTTTTGCATCTCACAATCCAATTAATACCAAACAAACATAATCAAAGATGTTGAGGTCTGGAGTGGTACATGATTCTGAGAACACCGCCAGCTTCTTTGTTTGAATTTGCAGATTTCCTTTTTTTTGTCTATTTCCTTTTTCTCAGAAACAGCTTCTTGACAGCTACACATCCTTTCAGACCCAAAGTGTTGAGCTGTCTTCTCACAGTGGAAGGATAGACAGAACTGGTGTATTTTTTCAGATCTGAAGCAAGAGGAGAGCTTGATTTTCTCCTGTCTCACAAAGATGAAATTTGTGGGTACTGTTTATCTGATGAGGAGAGTTTTGGTGGTCTACCAAGTGTCTAGCAGGGTTGTTAGGAGTCTCATTTTCTCTATATATTTTAATATTTTTTTCCACTTCCTTATGTAATAATAATCTTAAATCTAGTAAGTCGAATGAGCCAGGTTGATTTGTGTAATCATAACATGCTGGCAAACAGTATACTAAGCCAATGATTTAACACTCATGACTTGCTTAAAATATAATACTAGTCATGTAAATAAATTTACAAATAAGACTTAATGTTAATCCAAACTGGTGAATGAACAATGCCTAATCAATGCTATGCAGGGGTGAATTTTTAGAGTTAGTTGTGCCCATCAGTTGTCAGCTAGTAGACAAGGCTCCAGTGAAACAAATGTTAAATGGCAGCCAAGCAATCTTAGCAGGCTTATAAACAGCAACATTTGAGTATATAATTTGATTTTAATTCATAACAGAAACCCCATCCAAAGTTATGCAACAGCCAGAGATCCAATATGTACAGAAACCCAGCAGTTAGAGACTGAACAATCACTCAAATTATAGATGTAGCTGCAATGAATCCAATCACCTTAGCAATTAATTAGTCAGATAAATATAATGTTAATTTCCCTATGCTTAGTAAAAGTAGACCGTTTGATCCACTGACTCAAAGAACACTTAGAAGCCAGTGGGCAGGTGCTGAAGCTGAAGAAACTATTTGCCTTGTTTTGGGTCAACAGATCAACAAACTTTCTGTTCTTTTCCAGGGAAACATGTCAAAAGTGTCCACGGTAACCAAACATATGCTACAGGCCCGACAGATAGAGATTAGGTTGAGAGACGGTGGAATATTACTTTAAACTGTGACTATATACAGACAGAATTTCCACATTGTGAAGGTCTTTTTTCTGCATAAACTAGTAGACAGGCTTTGACAACACATGCTTAAAAACCTGTATGTTGTCTGCAAAAAAATAGCAAATAGCAATAGCAAATAGCAATAGCAAAAACCACCTGCTTTAAAATGAAGCAATCATACCCCCACACTATGGCTCTATCATTATCCATGATAAACATCTAGGAGCCTAATCTCATTTGAATCATTTAACTCTATTGAGGTAACTCTCTCCATGACCTGCAGTGATGTTATTTGTTTTCTCTGTTATGGGTGAGAACTTGCACAGCACGTAGCACAACAGTCAGTGGCAAAGCATTATTTATTCAAGGAGAGATGGCGACGGCTCAAACAGGACCAATAGCTAATTCCAACAGAAATCCAATCCAATCAAAAAATGATTAAAGGGTTATTAGAAGAGGGGAAACTCATGGAACTTGGCAAAAAGCTGAACATTCGCATTCTGTATAACGCTTTAAATAACACCTCCAAGGTGTCATGAACATCACTTCACGACACATTTCCTTTTCTAAGCACTGTCTAAGCATTTTTAGATGTTATTCGATTGGTATAGGTTTTCAGGTAATGTTTAGAGGGCCCATATCACTTTTTTTAAATTGATGTAGCATGCAAACACTTCAGTTTCAAAGTTCCAAAACGTACAATTCAGTCCACATATGGAAACTAAGCTGCAAAAACAGACCTGAATTAATTGTTTTTGTGATGTCATGAAAACCAACATTTACATTTATCCATGTATTCAGCCTGCAGCAGTTTGGCCCTGCTTAATGAAGCTATAGTTTTAAGGAGTGTTTTCAGCTTGAACTGTTTTCTGAATTAAGTAGAAAACAGAGCAACCAATCAGAATAGTGGTCATTTACATTTACATATATCAGTCTTAAAGGCATAGCTTGTTTATTTCTAAAGGGATAAAGAAATGTTGAAAGTGTTAACTGTTTCTGGTCTATAAAACCATATAAACGTCATATAAACCTTAGAATAAAACAATAAAATGTAAGATATAGGCCTTTTAAGTGTGTCACCGGACTTTTAAAAACGAATCCGTGCATTAAATTGTATTTGAAACATAATATTAACATCTATGAATTGTAATGTTTCAGTATAATTTTATACAGAACCTCAAAGAGGGAAGTCGTTTACGTCTACACATCAACCCCTAATCAATACAAGTATGTTATGCCTATCAACAGACACAGCTCTGCAGAAATCCCAATACAATGCACAGGAAACTGACACTGAATGATATTCATAATAACTGGGGGTAGAGGACATTCTAGCTAACTAGCTCTTGACATTAACATTGAGTGCGTGTGTGTGCTTGTGTGCGTGAGAGAGAGAGAGCGAGAGAGATGCCTCAGGCATGGCAGTACTCACAGTAGGTTTTTCTGGTCAATTCCTCCACCACCTCAGGCTTGAGTTTGCTGTTGGATTTGCCCATCTCTCTTCTCTCTCTCCTCTCGTTTCTCCCTGAATGTGTCCCCCGCCCCCACTGCCCCTCTTTTCCCACTCACATTTAACGCGAGAGAGGTAAGAAGAGAAAGAAAAAGAATATAAAAACACAACGGCAGGAGGAACGGAGCAAATGAGAGTGAAGAAATGCGATTTAAAGGCGCAGTGTCATTTCTCAGGCAAAGAGAGAGAGAGGGAGGCAGTAATCTTTTCACTCGTGTCCCTTGTTTCCTCCGCTTCTCCTCCTCCCGCGATTCCTGCCAACCGCGGAGCCCGAGGCCGCGAGAGGCGCTCCTGTCCTGGGCTCCTGCCCGCAGTGCTGGCCGCTGGAGCTGGCGGAAGACTTGGTTCGCTGTCGGGCTAAACGCTGTCTTTGCTCGAGTCTGTATAAGTGTGTGAGTGAAAAAAAGAAAGAGAGAGAGAGATAGAGAGAGAAAGAGAAAGACGGAGAGCGCGTGTGGGAGGGTATTGGTGGGTGTGGCTACTCGCCACGCGCTGTGTTTGTGCCGTAGTCCCTGACAACGCTCGCTCCGCCCCTTCGCTTAAACCACACCCCCTTTCTCTGTCGTTCCTTTTCACTTGGAATCTGAACATCTCATAACAATACAGCACAATATGAGTAGCTATAATACTGATAACAGACAACGACGACAATAAAAATGAATCAATTATTGTTATTATTGTCGCTGCTGAGATTAAAAGGATGGATAATATGTGCTTCTGACTGCCAGGGGCCTTTGGAGCCTTCAGACCCCGAGTCCTGAGTGGGCTCGGATGAGTGAAACATCTTCATAGTGAAACACAGCGAAACATCTTCGAATTATACTGCGTGTTCAGTTGCCTTGGCCTGTTACTACTAGACCATTTTTAAAATTAAACTGGGAGCAAATCCTGGGAGGTTGTGGCTGTGTTTGGTCTGCTCTAGACTGCAGATTTAAGAGAAGGAAAATAATCAAACCTAAACAATGGAAAATGCTGTTGCTATAGATCTCATTTTGTAATTTGCCATATAGTAAGTTAGTTTTCAAGCCACAGTGTCTTCAGAAATTCAGTTTACAATTTCAGTTTACAATTATTACTACTTAATAAAAAAATGAAATTTGACATGTAAAAAATGTTCTCAAAATTTCTAAAATCTCAAAATGTTACTAGTATGAATTAAATTTAACACATGATAATTGAACGCCTTTTCATAGTAGCAATAACATCCACCTCTTTTAGAGGTCTCTTAGTTGAACTATGAATACTATTTTCCTTCAATAGCACTGATGAAGTATTTTTCATTGAAAATATGTGATGAAAATCTGATTTAGGAAACCGAAAAGTGTTTTTATTGTGTTCCTAATGCTACACTGTACGGAAGTATGTAGACACCCCTCCTAATTATTAAGTGCAGGTGTTTCAGCCACACCCATTGCTTACAGGTGTATAAAATCAAGCACCAAGCCGTGCAGTCTTCATAGACAGACACTGACAATATAATGAGTTGTACTGAAGACCTCAGTGACTTTAAACATGAGACTGTCATAGGACTGCAAGTCAATTTGTGAAATTTCTGCTCTGCCAGATCTGCCCTGGTCGAATGTAAGTGCTATTACTGGAAGCAACAACTGCTCAGCTACGGCAGTGGTAGACCACACAAACTGGGGTCACACTGGGGCCACTAAGTGCCTAAGCATTGTATGTGATTTGGCGATGTGGAGAGGCATGAATAGCAAGGGCTTCTCATGCTTCCCCTTTCCCCCCTAATTGCTCATAAGCAGCTCAACACAGAATCACAGCATTTCACAGAGCCAACTGTTCATTAAAAATATCAATTTCCACTAGGCTGGCAGAATGGCTACTAGAGAGCCTGCAGAAAGATGCTACTATTCACATGTAGAAATTCAACCTAGAAGTGACAATGACATGCAAAAACCCCAGCATGACTGCTGGGCATGAAATGCTTGATACATGATACGCTTGTACCAGCACCACACACACTACACAGCACCATTTCAGTGTGAAAGAATGGTCCACCACTCAAATACTATCTGTTTAGGTGTGGTAGACCGAAAGAGAGATGGATAGAAAGACAGACATGTCAGTAGACAGTTACAGAAAGAGAGGCAGAGAGATAGAAACACTGAGAGAAAGATAGGCAGAGAAAGACAGTGAGACAGAAAAACAAAAAGAGAGGGACAGACTAGAAAAAAAAGACAGCAGTTCATCCAAAGAGAGAGAGAGAGAGAGAGAGAGAGAGAGAGAGAGAAATATGGACAGAGTGACAGAAAGACAGAACGTGAGAGAGAGACAGAAAGACAGAGAGAAAGAAAAACAAAAAGAGCTTATGAGAGAGTTGTATGAAAAAGTAAAGAAAAAAAAGTAAAGCAGTGATGAATAGTGCTGAGTCAACACCATGCTGCCCTAGAAGCAGCCTGCAGTCTTTTGCCAGCAGCATCACCTGCTGTGTCACTGTATACCCCCACCCCTCAAAGAACACACCATATTGAGCTGGCAGACTATGGCTACCCTAGATTAGAATAGCTCTTTCTCAGGCCAGTTTAAAAGTAGGCTACTTCTCCTGATATGTCCCCTTTTCCCTGCAATGAAAGATTCTTTTTTCCTTCTTCCAATCGGCTCTTCATCATGCTCCAAAGGTGTTGCACCAGACTTTATGCCAAAGTGTCATAAGTACGCTTTAAAATGAGTATAGTATGTATGGATTTTATGGATTTATGTACCAAAAACTATGATAATACATTGTTACATTACCATTTTCAGACCTATACCTAAAGAGAACTAATTTTGTGGTTACTGTGACTTTAAGACTGACATATACAAATGACCTCTGTTCTAATTGGCTGCCCTGTATTGTGCCTCCCTCAAAAAGCATCCTGAAAAATTCCTTGTCCTTTCCACATGAATGAGCAGAGGTAAACTGCTAAAGATTGGATGACCAACAATTTCCTTCTTCTTAATCCTAACAAAACTGAGGTCCTACTACTTGGACCCAAAGCAGAGAGATCTCAACTCTCCAAATTTGAACTAAATTTAGACGGCCATACAGTCATTCCAAGCTCTACTGTAAAAAATCTAGGTGTCATCTTCGATTCCAGTCTCTCTTTTGATAAACGTTTGCAACATCGTTAGAACCGCATTCTTACACTTACATCGCTAAACTACGCAATATTCTAGCCCTAAACGATGCAGAAAAACTTGTGCATGAATTTATAACCTCCAGGCTGGACTACTGTAACACCATTTTAGCTGGAAGCTCCAACACTTTAAAGATCCATCTGGTCCAGAATGCAGCTGCTAGCGTCCTTACAAGGACCAAAAAATTTGACCATCATTACACGGGCTACCTGTTAAATTTCGTGTAGAGTATAAGATCCTTCTCTTAACTTATAAATCATTAAATGGCCTGGCCCCACAGTATCTTAATGAATTAATTCAGTCATATGAACCCACACGTACGCTCCACTCACAAAATAACAGTTTTTCCTACATAGCCCCAAAATTATGGAATCATCTCACGACCTCTGTCCGGGACTCAGACACACTCTCTACATTTAAAACTAGACTCAAAACTTATCTTTTTGCACAAGCAATTTGCCAACATCAGTTGTTGCACTATGAACTATCTCTCCATAAACGGATCTGTCCTGTTAATCAATCTTTCTCTCTCTGTCTCTCTCTCTCTTTATTTGAGCCCCTGAGCGACGTCTGCCTGAGTCGCCACATGTGAGCCACCAGAGCTGCTAAAGTCACCAGAGCTCCATTTCTGCTGGCTGATCTGCACCTCACCTGCATGAACTGACTCTCCTGATGCTGTTGCTGCTTCTGCATTAACTCAAACTATCTAATTAACCATTGCTCCACCTGTTTTTCTTGTTTTGTATTCTAATATTTGATACTAATGCTGTTTGTTATCCGGTGTCGACCAGAGGAGGATGGGTTCCCATTTTGAGTCTTGGTTCCTCTCAAGGTTTCATCCTCTTGCTCCTCGGGAGTTTTTCCTTGCCACTGTCGCCACTGGCTTGCTCATGGGGGCTCGGACCCGGTAAAGCTGCTTTGTCACAACACCTGTTGTAAAAAGCGCTATATAAATAAACTTTGACTTCACTTGACTTAAAGATTGAAAAGGCAGATACACTATATGGCCAAAAGTATGTGGACACCCCTCCTAATTATTGAGTTCAGATGAAATCAACCAGATAATCATGCAATCTCCATAGACAAATGCTGAAGGTAGAATGGATCGTACTGAAAAGCTCAGTGACTTTACATGTGATATTTTCATAGGATGCTACCTTTGTCAGTTTGGCAGTCTGAACAAATCTGAGTTTGGTGGATGCCAGGAAAATGCAACCTGCCAGAATGCATAATGCCAACAGTTTTTAAGATTTGGGCTAGAATCCTTTGTTCCAGTGAGGAGGGGAGGGTGTCCCCATGGTTAAAAAAGCTTTGCTAAAGTGCCCTCTAAAGTGGCAAAAATGACAAGAAGTGTCCTATTGACTGCCCCTCACATGGAAAAAAAAATGTTTGAGTGCCCTCTAAAGTGCATCTTCATACAATAAATTATGATGATGTGACCTATAAAGCAAGGATAATCGATAATAACATTCCCTATCTGTGCCCTTCCAATGAAGTGCCCTCTACACTGCTCCTACATGACAGTGTCCCAAATTGTGCACAATCAGTGAATAAAATGTGATGCAGTGCTGAAAAGGGTGTCCTTACATGCATGACAATGTGAGAAAGTTTACTAGTGGATGTCTCTCCAGTGGAGAAAATGTGATGTGGTGACATACAGGTGCCCTCACAATGGGATAAACATGACGTTCCCTACAGGAGAAAAAACTCATGAAGTGCCCTCTTAGATTCCCTTCCAAAATGGGTGCCTTTCATTGAGGCTGAAACGATTGAGTTTTACCAATAATGTGTTACTAAATACTAATATATGTACACTGCAAGTGTTTTTATAGATAGCTGTATCTCATCATTTTTTAGCTTTGACGCCTAGCTAAGGAGCTAGCTAACTAAACAGGTATATTGCCAGATTCTATGCTAACCTGTGAACTCAATTTGGAAATCAAGCAGAAGCAAAGATCCTTCCCTAAAGGCATTATTTCAGGGTAATTGCCCACAGGACAGAAAATTTCATGTGAACTGCTTTTTCAATTAAGACTGATTAGTCCTGATTTCTAAGCTCCCAATCATAGCTTTTTCTTTGACATTTTCACATCCATGTATGTGTGTTTGTGAAACAAATGTTAATAGTTCCCTCTGTGTTTTACACCGGAGGTGTTTGTGAAATAAAATTTTTAAATCTTTATAGTTCCCTTTGTAATGTGGTTTGCCTATTAACTTCAGGCAAGAAGACTATTTCGTCATGATGCATTGTAGCTTTTTGCACAATGGTGGGG